GTTTGTTGCTTAGCGCAAGCTATTCTTTACTTTTTACCAAATTTCAATTGTTCCTTAACCAGGGGTATCAAAAAATATGTATATTATGCATTTCATCCCTTTACAGAAAGAACAGGATTGTTCAATATATATAATAACTTTAGAAAACATTTTTCCTGTATTCTACCTTTCACTGACCTTCTTGGAATGTACTCTGAACAAAAAAAAAAAAAAAAAGAGAGAGACGGGACTGTCTGTATCTATAGCTTTTATTAGTCTTGTCAGCTTTTTTGATAGCACGTACAGTTTAAATTCCATCCTACTCATGAAAAGATAAAAGGTCTTGCATCAGATTCCCCAACTATGAGAAATTCTAAAACTACTTTCTAATCTCCTGCCAACAGTCTTCATTTTAGGCTTCCTGTGAACAGATTTACCATTTTCCTTTCCCCTCCCAGTCCTCTCTCTTCCTCCACCCGCTTGGTATCGTTCTCAGAGGAGTCCTCGACTAGCATATCCTGACTCTTCTTGTTCTCTACAAAGGACTGACTATAGGTTCCAGACATCAAAGATCTCAACAAAACACAAACTACAGAATTGATGTGGAGATAAAAGACCCAGGAAATAAAGCTGGGAAGAGGGAAGAGTACAAAAAGTTTTCTTTATAACAAAATAGAACAGGAGGAAAGAAAAGACAGGGTTGACAGAAAAAAGAAAACCACACTAAGTATTTTAAACATTTATATAAAGCATTTGAACAACTGGCATTGTCATATTCAAGCCAGAAGCAAACAAGGTGGGTCAACAGATGAAACCAAATCAGTTTTTAAACTTATAGCACCTAGCAAAGAAGCCTCAAGTGCCTTGGCCAGTCAGGGCCAAGGGCCGTGCTCCGTATACATCACTAGCCATTCACACCCTTGTGATGTTTTAGTAGGCTCTGAAAAATGAGCTCTGAGGCATCCTTGATCTGGGCTGGGGTAGGGTCTCGGAAGACTTCTGCCAGGTTCTAAATAAATTGACCACTCATAATTCCAATGCAGTTCAATACACAGTCAGGCTAGTGAGCGATTACGCAGTTAAAAAGAGATAAGAGTCTACAATAATAATTTCCAGAGTCAAGCATATTAATACCTGGTTGGTACTCCCTAAATTCAGAAACTAATCAAGAAAAAGTATCTTCTCTCCTGATGCCCTATGTCACATAACAGATTGTTATTCACTGTTGTTTTGCTTTTTAAATTTTGTTTTGTTTTTTGTTTTTGGCGGTACTGGGGATTGAACCTAAGGTCCCACATGTGCTAGGCAAGCAAGTGCTCTATCACTGAACTACATCCCTAGCCGTTACTCATACTTAAATAAATAACACAGTTATACTTATGCAAATTTAATAAACACCAAATAGTTGAGGGAAAAGTTCTAGCTTTTCTATCTTATTTTGTTGGAAATAAAATTTTCCCTTGATTTCATTATATCGTGAAGACAGCTGGCTAATTTCTAAAGTATTTGAAACTGAAAATGGTTTAAAATTATAAAAATGTATGTAAGTAGGCCTTATGAGAAAGGTAAAGAGGAGACACACGCTTTATAGTAAAAATTTGATGAAAAATTTGCATTTCATTGATCAATGAACAGAAACTACATACTATCTCATACATACTGCACACATCAAGGCCATCAAAATTGCTATGAGCCTATTCTAAGCTCATGAATTCTATGATTTTTTTCATATAATCTCCCACCAGCTATTACTAAACGCTCTGGCCACTTTCTTTCCACTGTTCTTTCCAAATTCTTTCACCTCACAGGCTAATAACAACAAACTGTGAGCACTCAACAATTTTGTACTGGTTAACCTTATAAACCTTTCTGTGATCCTCTAAGAATAATGTCATAATTTTTTTTTTAATCTACACATAGTTAACACTGAGTACTATGCACTCATCACTGTTCTAACATGTTTCATATACCAACCCTGAAAACACATCTACGAAATGAATACAAGTAGCTTGGGAGGAACACTGGGCACAAGGCAGTTCACTTCACCATTACTCAGCAATGATCAATTGTTATCTAAAATGCCCACATGCAGCCAGAAGACTATCTAAACATGATTAAACAAAAATAAATGCCTACAATTTATTTTGTCAATAGTGACTTTCATCTATAAAAGATGATTTTATTTCTTTGACTCATGTATGCACAATGGTTCAAGTTTTATCTGTGAGTACAGTTCAAAAGGAAACATGAATTAGTACTTTTTTTAGAATAGGGATAGCTATCTTGTTTACCTTGATATTCTGATGCAGTAGGCTGAATTTGGCCACAAAAATCTATGTAGCCAATGGACTCCAACCACCATTAGATGAAGCTACTTGTTGCACTTTTTTTAAACCTTTCAATACCACTATTCAGAAATTTGGAAGCAAAATGCTCAAAAGCTGCAAAGTACTGTAAGAGTTCCACCATTTGAAAAAAGAATGAAGACACCATACTTGGACTAAACTTTCCCAAGGAGTGAAAATTTACATAAGCCACAGACACCTAAAGAACCAATTAAAATAAAATTACATTGGATTTTGGGAGAAATGGAAAATTATAGAATATCACAAAAAACTGTTTTCATTGTAGATCGAATGGTGTTCCTGGATACCAAGAGAATTGTACGTAAAGACAATGCTAAGATGGGGCCAAAACAGGTGTTGCTCTTACATTAACAAAGTAATTTATGAAGTCTACTTGGCCTTATAGCTATCTGCTTTAGGAAAGAAGACTGGAGAAGCCTAACTCCATGTTACCTAAGGTTAACTTTTGTATGCCTTCACCATTTCTTGACTGATTTACGACACCAGTATTCTGGTGAGATTCTGTTTCTCATTCTCCAGTCCAACCTTTGCAGAGGCACTGATCACACCTACGTGTAATAGAAAACCTTCAACTGGTTCACTGTCACTCAGAATGAAGTCCAACTCCTCAGCGCTACACATCCACCCCATGCAGTGTTTTCTCAAATGCGCCATTCGTGTGCTCCCATCCCAGACCAGACCCCAGCCCTCACACCTGCATCCCTGTGGTGGTCACATCCCAAACCCACCTGTGTGTCTTGGCCCCTGCAGGTGCAGCCCTCATTTCCTCAAAATGCCACTCAGGTTTTCCGTGCCACTGCGTCCTTGCATATGCCATCCAGTCTAGGTGGAACGTCTTTCTCTTTCCCTGCTTCTGCCTGATTAAACTTAACCTTCAGGACTCAAGTCTTGCAGCCTGTGGGCATTTTCCTAATGTCCTCGCCCTCTGATGGGTCAGAAGCTTTTTGGACACTGTACTGTATTCCCCACTGGACTAACGACGAATTGCTTTATCACTTTCTAGCTGAGTGACCTTGAACAAGTTCATTAATTTCACTGGATCCATTTCTTCACGTCATGAAAGCATTAATTTGCTATCACAGTGAAAATAAAGACTTCCAAAAATCACTTGTAAACAGTGAAGCACCATGCAGATATTAACAATTTTATCGCAAACCAAAAGAGCACACAGTACTTTAGGTGACTATACTTCTGTTTAATCTAAGGTTAGGACTCATCAATCCTGATTCCCAGTCTCCTCTCCAAGGGTGCCCTGCATTTTTATCCTTCTTTCTGGCTCCACAAAGTCCCTGTGTTTCTACCTTTGGAGAAAAAAATCTACAGTGATGTTTAGGTCATTTAAAGAAAACACTAAGTGGGGACTTCTCTTTCCCAGGGCCTTTACCTGTGTTAACATACACAGTCACTCAGTAATACAGAAATGTTGTGTTAACATATACATTCATTTAGCAAATATGAAGAGCTGAATGAGTGAACATAAACATACCGTGTCCTTAATAAGCTTATAACTAAAAGGAATGAGTAATGTAACAGATTCCACATGATTCTGATCTTAACAAATACCTTTCGTGTCATCTTCAAGTGCAATAAATTTCCTGCTGTTTCATGTGATGATTTGCCACATGTTGTAATTGCTATGAGTAACTCATGCTTACATTAATATTTTGACATCAGAATCATTGATGCGATTCAATACCTGGTTATAGAACATCTATTATATTCAGCCTTATCAGAAAAGGTGATGGACTCTGCCCACGAGCCACTAAACATATCCAAAGGAAGCTAAGCCATCAGTACGGTTAATACAAAGCAGAAAGCTGTGAGGTGTGTGGAGAACCTAAAGGCAGTGACAGTTAACAAAGGCATCTCGGTTAGGACACTAATGGTGGCAACAGCATCTATAATATTGAATATCAAGTGTACATTACATATGCGACACTTGCTGCATGCAGTATCAGACATCTGCCATCGCCTTTCCTCCTAACCCTAAACTGTGTTGTCGTCTAAGGGAGCTGCTCACACTCACATCCCACGTACGTGCTAAGCACTGTTCCACGCCCTAAAGGTATACTTTCTCATCTCCAATATCCCCGTTTTACAGATGAGGCACAGGGTCTGTAATTTTCCAGGATTAAGAGTTAAAAATAGAAACACGTACATATAAATACGGACCTAATAAGAAAAAAAACAAAACAAAAAAAGAGTATTCTCGGAGCGGAGCGAGTGGTCCCACCTGACAAAACTGCTTCCCGCAGTGCTTTCCCCTCCAGGGCGCAACCAGCGGGAACAACTCATCGCCTTTCCCTTCCCGCCAGGGATTAATTTTCTTTTCCTGAGTCCAGAACTGAACTGTTGATTCTCCTGCGGATCCGCTCGAACCAGAGGACATCATGCTGTTACTTAAGGCGGTTCGGGCTACAGGAGACCGAATCAGATCCCTCTCGGATTGGGGATCCGTTCCTGGATCACCTCCAGGGATGGCAGCCACGCTCGGCTCACCCAGAGGTGCTACCCCGGCGGCATCCTCTCTCCTCCTTCTCTCTCCACCTCCCCGCGCGCCCTGCACCTTCTGCAGCCCCCGCTGACCGCGCGCCAGGCCTCAGCGCCGCGTCTCCGCCAAGTCCCCAACCCTCCCGACCCCGGCCGGGCACTTACGGTTCCAGTACACCGGGTAACACTCCCCCTGGGTCACATTCACCTCGTAGAGGCCGCCACGCACGCACACTGGCTCGATGTGCAGCAGCCCCTCAGTCTCGGGCTCGGCCTCGCGCCCCACCGCGCGCGGACAGAAGCCGCAGGCGCCGTTCCCATCTTCGTCCTCCTCCTGCCCGGAGCCCGAGGCCGAGCGCTCAGGGGCGGCCGGGCCGCACGCACGCTCGCCGGGGGCCTGCAGCAGCGTCCGGAAGGCGAGCTCGATGCGCAGCGAGTCGTAGCCGATGAAGGGCTTCCAGGTCTTCTTGTCCTCCCGGTAGAACCAGCGCACCTCCTCGGGGCCCAGCTCCGCCACCACCTCGTAGCGGTGCCGGGCGGCCGGGCCTCCGGGCCGGGCGCGCTTCCTCTCCCCGGGACCCGCGTCCGCCGCGCCGCCGTTCCCCGAGATCGTGGGCAGCAGCGCGGGCGACGGCGGCGGCAGCAGCGACGAGGAGCTGCCGCCGCCGCCCTCGGCCTCCCCGTAGTAGCGCAGCGACGAGCCCGACTCGGCCGAGCTGAAGTAGTTCTCGTCGCTGAGCGAGGGGTCCAGCGCCAGGTGTGGGAGGTCGGCGGCGCCCGGCGCCAAGTGCACCCCCGGCTCCCCGCGCAGCAGCGCTAGGGACACGCCGCCGTCGCCCGGGTCCCCGCCGGGCAGGTGCTCCAGGCAGCAGACGCCGCCGAACGCCGGCCCCGCGTCTGCGCCCAGCTCCCAGGCGCCGCCGCCCCGGCTGTTACGCTCGGGGCTCCGCGGGGACCCGCGGCCCGGGAAGTTCATGGTGCCGGGCCGCGCGCCGATCAGTGGCCCCCACAGCTTCCGCCTCACATGCAACGCCGCCGCCCTCTCCACCTGGGGTTTTTAATCTTTCAAATCCCGGACGCGACGGCGGCGCCGGGGGCCGAGGCGATAGCTCCGCCCCCGCGTTCGGCCGCCCGGCCGCCCATTGTCACGCAGCCCGGCGTGGGCGGTGCCTCGACGGGCCACGCCCCCGCAAAAAGCCCCGCCCCGGAAGCCCTGTCTGAGGAGCCGAGCTCAGGTCCGGGACCCTTCCTCCGTCAGTTCTTCCCGCACTCTGGCCCCTCGGCCAGGACTGCGAGTCAGCCCGGGCCCCCTCCAGGTCTCTTCCGTGACCCCGCCGCGCGTGTCGCTGCACGGATCTTCTGAGTCCCCGAGCCCAGCTATGGTGAGGCTTTATCCAGGCCATCCTGAGCCTGGAGGCTTCTGCCTCTGTCCTGAGAGCCCCTGCGAGTTTCTTGCCCACATTCTCCTTTTTAAAAAGTACACATTTGTATGCATAATGAGTAAATTTATTGTGGAGAGTTGGCACATACACATACTGCGTCTTAATCCTGTTTACTTTCTTGTCCTCTCCCCTTCCTCCCCTCCCTTCATCTCTAGATCCCTTTCCCATCACCAAAAGGTCTACCTCCCCGTTTCCTGTCATCTATCTCTTATTAAACTTTGAGTTCTTCATATAAGAGAAACTATTCGATATTTAACCTTCTATGTCTGATTTATTTCACTTAGCATTACGTGAGGTGCATCCATTTTCCTACAAATGACTAAAATGTGTCCTTTATGGCTGAGTAGTATTCCACTGTATACATAACCCGCCTGCAGCCTCACCTGGACCTGCTCAATCAACTGGCTCTAGTTCCTCCAGAATTCTCAGCTGGCCAGAGGGCACTCCACCTCACACCCACTGCTCCCTGGGCATCACCACGCCCACGCAGAAACTGGGCTCTTAAACTGCCTTCCTGTGCTCCCTGTTATTGCTTATCTTTCAATGATTTCCTGTTTTCTCAACTTTCTTGTAAAGCCCTTGATAGTAACAAGTCTATGTCACAACCATCTCCACACAGTGGGTACAGAACCAGTGTTTATTGATTATGATGGCAAGTCTGCACAGGTGTGACAGAAAGATTATTGGATCGAAGGGCAGAAAAACAGTTGGCTTCTAGACCCTAATAATAATCCCAAGGAAATCGTCCAACCTCTAATCTTTTTGGTTTCTTTATCAGCAAACTGAAACATTGTTGGACTAGATGCAGTGATTCTGTGACCTGTAAGATTTCTTCCAGTGCTTTATGCATCTCTGATTCTGTGACTCACTTTTCTGGGATCAGGTTGAATGAATACCCAGGCTCCCTTATGCGGTTCTTTTTTTTTTTTTTTTTAAATGTCTGTTTTATAAACCCATCACTCTATGTTGAGAATCCAAAAAAAAATAATCTCCAACTTTGGTGTTCTCCATTCAAGAATAGGCACTCTTCACTGTTTCATTACTCCTTCTGTATGGAATCAAGTTGGTAGGGTAGTATTTCCCGATTGTCCTAGAGATTATTTGAAGTTGTTATTTAAATCAGGACCATTTATAGTGTGTACAGTGCTTTTGTAGGAATTAGGGGAAAAGGTGCTGCTTCCTGTGGGCAGGTACTAAGGGATGTGTGGTCTGTGGCTTGGTGAGTGGAACATGAGGTGGGTTTTCTACCCCAGTTTGTACTGAGGGGTGGTTGATCTTGTGCAGTTGTACACTGCAGTCCAGATTCAAAGAACTCTTCCATTCATCATGGTTTCTGAGTGCATGCACCCCGACTTCTCCAGTGTTTCTATTAAGATATGTAGAATATGCAATTGTCAATGAACTTTGATCTATTTGCTACCCATGAAAGGATTAACTCCACAGTGTTTGATAGCCAGGCACCTCTGATACAAAAGAGGGCAGGAGAGACTAAATTCCTTCTTCAGCAACATACAGCCCAGTGTGGCTAGAAAAAAGTAAACAGATATAGTACAATGTGAAAAAATTATAAGAAGGATTAAATAATTAATCCTTCTTAAATTTAATTTATTTAATTAAATAATTAAAATAATCATTTAAATATCTATTCCTTTATGTTTCTTAATTGAATGGAGTCTAACTATGTAGCTATCTGGTCAGTTTATTTTAGCTAAATTTTAACTCTTAAGGATGATACAATTCCCGTTAATGAATATTTCCCTCTGTAGAAAAACCTCACTCCTTGTATTGAAGGAATATTTCTATGAAATTATTTGGTAATTTTGAACTGTTCTCATGTGGTCCATTGGGTGAGGCCACGCTTTTAAAGGCATGATCTTTCTCAGAGGAGAAATAGACCTTGGTGAGGGGAGAGGGCAGTCAGTATTTGTGGGAGCTGAGTTTGCTTTTGCTCCTTGGAAGTGTGCTGGGGCCAGAAGACCAGCTTGTAGTTGGCCCCAGGCAGACAGTGAGCAAGATATTTGAAGGTATAGTATCTAACTTCATGTGACTGCATGTGTTCATTTCCCTTTTATTTTCTAGTCCTATCCAGGCGAAGGTCATGAAGTTACTCACCTCAACTTTCTTTGCTTCTTTAAAAAGTCATTCTTTCACTGAAGCTTCCTGCTAGGATCCTTTTGCTTTCTAGAACATCTTTTCAGGTTTTGTGATTCTGATGAGGGGGGAAAGGGTTGGAACCTCCATTCCTTGCCTGCCTGCTAGAACAGGTGTTGGGTTCTCCTTACCACCTACATCATTACTGTGCCCCTTGGACAGTTACAGGGCAGTATCCAAACTTCCATGGCTCTAAATAAAGCATTTTATTCTAATTTAATAATTACCCAAGACCAGGCTTCCTTCCCATAAGGAAAATATGCATGACTGATTCGGATGCCTGACATTTGTGAACCTGGGCGGCTGGAAGAACCAGGTTGACGTGGAACTAGGCCCTTGGTGTAAGAGAGCAAAGGAGGTCAAATCAGCTTGTTTTTACTACAAAAGACAAACAGCTCAAGCTCACATCTTCCCATCCTCCCTCCCCGATTAGGGATTGGACAGGAGCTCTCTGCCAACCACAGCCACCTTCTCCTCCCACTTCTCAGAAAGTTCATGGTTCCATTTCTGGCCATCTTTTCCTTTTCTTCTCCCTTAAACCTTCTTCCTACTGTTCATCTTAACCTGTTTTCAACTGTATAAAAATATTGGGGCAGCCTTATGACATGAATTTATTCTGAGCCAGTACTCCACACTCACATTGAAAATGGCTTCATCCAGAGGGTTCAGCGAAATACATACCATTAGAATGAAGATGGGAGTGGCACATAGCCAACTCTCCCACCTGCTGCATCTCCTGTTTGATGAGCCACTCACTATCTTTTAAACTTTAGAATGAGCATTTATCTTATTTCGTAAACTGAGAGTATGTTTTTGGTGCACTGATGAACTGGAACAATGCGTTCCACTAAAGTAGGGAACCTTTCCTGGACATATATAAGGTGTCTGCCAAGTTTCATGCACCCCGTTGGGTTCCACAGCGAAGCATTCACAGTCTTGCGGTATCTTTAAATAAAACCATAATGCCAACTCTTGCATTCCTGGGAGGACTATAATTAGATGCTAGTGTAGCTACTTCACCACACAGGTCATTCTCTCCCTAGATGCAAATCAATAGGGGAAACTAAATCACACTCCAAAGGGCGCTGGTGAGCACAAATGACATAGGAAAATCTAATGAATAAAGTCATTCATTGTTCCATTTATTCATTCAACACATATTTGCCTAATACTCCTTTAAAGATGTTTTTGAGCCAGTACTGGTGGCACACAGCAGTAATTTCAGTACTCTGGGAGGCTAAGGCAGAAGTATTGCAAATTGGAACCCAAGACTGGGCAACTTAGCAAGACTCTATCTCAAAATTTAAATAAAAAATTCAAAAATAAAAAGGGCTGAGAATGTAGCTGAATGCCAAGGCCCTGGGTTTGATGTCCAACCTCTACAAAGTTTTTATTTTTAACAAATCATTTAAAGTTTAGAATTATCAAATGTATTTATTTTAAAGGGCCTATCCACAAAACTGTATTTGGCAGTGCCCCATAAAGATATTCTATATTTCATTTGGAAAAAGATCAGTGATGCTGAAGGGATGTATTCCAATGGAAGACAATGCAAATCAATTCCATATTGATGCATATTCTATTGGGACAGCCACAAAATCCTCATCAGCTTTTGTATGTCAGAAACAGAAGATTTGGCTGTGTTCCTGCTCTTCATTATAAAAAAGTGAAGTAAGCCATAGCCAAAGTCTGCCATGAGTCCATTGCAAATCTATTGGATGACTTCTGTACTGTAGGATTTTCTTATCTTACCTCAGAGGTAAACTGAAAATACTTATTAGTTCATGAAGTATATAACTGTACAAGCTTTTGAAAAAGTAATTGATAATCACGATAAGGTGCTGAAAAAGATTTAGAAGTAGCATCTTGTATATGTGTATTTTATCTGATTTTTGTGTAAGAAGGAAAGAAAAGAGTTATGTTCTGATAGTGGTTTCCAAGAGGGTAGCTGAGTTTTTACAGGGGCAGAATCGACTCACTGTTATTGCAACTGCTACTTAAGAAAATGTTTTTGTCTGTACTTCATGTCGGCATTTCAAATTTAAGGTTTCAGTTAGAACAAAGTATTCTAGACTCACAAGCCCACCGACCCTTCCTGAGTTCTGTTTGGTTTTTGAACCATATATATAGCTATTAAGAGATACTGATTAATAAATTAAAAGGGGATGGTAGGAGTGCAGTGTTCTTCAGAAATTTAATCTTCAAGATTAAACAACCTGTATTTTAAATAAATGAGTAACAATGGCCTACATTTGAAACTCATTCTTCACTTTGGAAGTTTAGAACTTCAAACTAACTCTTAATAATCAATGAGAGCTTACAGTCTTCCATTTTATTATTAACATTATTCTCCTCAAATCATGAACTTCGATCATTTGTGTTAGATGTCTTAGTCCATTTTCTGTTGCTACAACAAAATACCCGAGACTAAGTAGTTTGTAATAAGAGGTTTATTTTAGCTCGGTTCTGGAGGTG